AAACAACAATATCATTCTGCTCCTAAATCTTTTTTTTTTTTTTACTGTAACAAATGTTTTCATTTCACTTTTATTTGCATTCTAATGTTATATTTACTCCCGTGCCATAAGCTTTTGTTTCTTCAGTTTCTTCTGGGATATCTTTTTCTTTTGAGCAACTTCCTCTTCTGATTTAGGAACAATTTGTTCCTTTTCAGTAAGTATCATCTCAATATGGCAAGGAGAGCTCATGTATGGGTTGATTCAACCATGAGCCCTGTAAGTATGCTGTCGCATTTTGGGAGCCTTGTTAACCTGGATATGCTCAATGACAAGAGAATCCACATCCAAACCCTTCAATTCTGCGTTCCTCTCTGCATTTTTAAGCATGTGCAGCAAGAATTCAATGCTCTTTTTGGGCCAGCAACCCTGTGTCCAACCCCACTGCTTAGCCTGGGCACACCTGCCAACTCCACCATTATATCGCCCGAAGGGAACACATTGTTTCTTCGTTGTGTCATCTTTCAAATACTTGGTAGATTTTCAAATATGCATGCCCTTGGTATCTTGGGCTGTTTCATGGGTGTTCTTGAAGTGGACCCGGAGATTTGAGCCCCTGGACTTGCATGATTTTGTGGGGTTCTCTGGATCATTAGAGTACCTAACCGTTTTAAATGATTACCTAGGACAGATCAAGGGAAGAGGAAGAGCAAAGGCTTTCGGGAGACTTGGTCCTGCTCCTAAATCTTGATAGCAAATTTTGCTCTGCTGCTTCAATTTATTTCTTAACTCCTCAGAGGTACCTGCCCTCTCCCCTTTCTTATTCAATCTAGCTGCTCTCTGCTTTGGCTCCAGTATTTCCTAATCTGTTTATATCCAATGTGAATATTCACAGAATGTTAGTAATGTAAAGTTTTATATACAATACAAAGAAAACATTCCCTTAGAGTGCCTTTGTATGTGTAGATTCTTTTATGGCGTTCAATTGTTGTTTCATAGACCTGTAGATTATCTTTGCTTTACTCTAACTCCTATTTTTGGAAGAGCTTGTCTATGCTTTGTGGACTAAAGAAAAAAGATACCTTAAGCTCTCTCATATTTTCTCTGAAGAACAATCAAATAGTCCTGAGTGAAATAGTTTCATCTTTTAGTTCAGACAAAGCTAATTCATTTTGGTTTATCCCATGGGTTTATAATCATCCTTTAAAAAATAATACTTTGTGTATCCCTGTCTTTTCAGTCTGGATATAGCCTTAGCTACCCCTTAAATAATGAATGGTAGGAAGATTTTTTTCTTATTTTTGGTGAAAATATGACTTTTAATTCACATTATATACTACTGTAGCATAATGATTATTTGCCTCTTTCTTTTTTTTTTTTTTTTTTTGGTGAGGCAATTGAAGTTAAGTGACTTGCTCAGGGTCACATAGCTAGTTATATGTCAAGTGTCTTAGGTCTGTTTTGAAATCAGGTCCTCCTTACTCCAAGGCTAGAGCTCTATCCACTGTGCCACCTAGCTCCCCCTATTTGTCTCTTTCTATAGACATTTATGATTCTGTTATAGAAACTTTGAATGGAACTTCAGCTTTTTTTTGGCTAGGCAGTGAGATTAAGTGACTTGCCCAGGGTCACACAGCTAGTAAGTGTTATGTGTCTGAGACCAGATTTGAACTCAGGTCCTGCTGAATTCAGGGCCAGTGCTCTATCCACTGTGCCACCTAGCTGCCCCCTGGAACTTCAGCTTTTTGAGAATATATAAATTACTATAATACTATTGTGGAAACAGTAGTGTGGAAAAAAATTTAAAAAACAAGATTGACCTTTTAAAAAACCCACTATTATACAGTGCTTTATAAGATAAGAACTACTCTAAAGGAATTCAGGTCAGATTATATGCTAGATCCAAGTTAAGGGTCAGGATTTAGAGAGATAGACAGCAGTTTTTAAAAATGTGCTCTCTTACTAAACAAAAACATTCAGTAGGAAAATACATGGATGGATAAGGCTTTCTAGATTATACCCATGGGGAGATTCACCTAGTTCACAACTGATAATCCCATGAGAATAAAAAGTCTACCAAGTCTGAAGAATTATACCCATCTTTGTGACAGTGGTCAAGGTTCTTCATGTTTGGGGTCTTCATGACTGAATGCCAGTAGGCTTATTAGTCAGCCCATTAGGACCCAAAGTTTGGTTAGAACAAGTTATGCCTAAGACAGGGGACTTAATTCTCATTTAGTGTTGCTGATGTATTTGGTTTGGGTGGGAGTATAGAGATCTTTTATTTTTCCTAAAATATTCTATTTATAATCTTGTTCGTATGTATGATGTTTAATGGAATTTTTGGTGTTCATTTAGCTTTTTCTATTTTCTCAACTGAATAGAAGACATTGACTTTCCACAGATAAGCCACTTAGGAGTCATGATAATCAGCTAAGGCAAGAAAAGTGGAGCTTGAGTACTAAGTTAAATTTAAATCGCTTGAAAGAGTACCCTATTTGTTTAAAACTGTTCATCGTGATGTGGTCTATTTAATGTTTTGACAGTACTTCTGGCTCTTCTTATTTAACATGTTGGGAGACAGACTGGCAGCAGTAGTAAGCTGAAACCTGGTTGTATACAGAATGAGATTCATACTTGGAAGGGAAAAAAATTGGAAGTGCAAGCATGTGTTTTTTCTAAATTAAAGTCTGACACATTTTGGTTAAAATAGAACTTCATGCTGTGTTTTTAGGTCTCTGTAAATTTAAAGACGTGATCATCGTACTGGAACTCATTCTTAACATCATTCTGTGGAATAGTTGAGTTTATTTCTTTTAAAAAATATTGATATCCTTTGTTTTTATATCACCTTCATTTCAATGAAGAAGTAAATAAATAATGATCGAATAAAATAATTTCAAAGAATAAAGTAAAAAAAAAATAAAGAAAAAAGTTCAGTCACTGCTACATTATCACCCCTGTGTTACAGAGGAGATATATTTGTTTTTTCTACTTCTTTGTGGTATTATTACTATACTTTATTTCATTTTCCTCCATTAGAATATAGGTTTCTTGAAGGAATGGACTATTAATATTTCTACCATATGCCAGTGCCTGGCATATAGTAAGCTAAACATTTAATAAATGCTTGTTTTTTTTGACTTGATTTTGTATCAGTTATAAATCTGCCCATGCATCTCTGTATTCTTCATATTTGTTTTTTTACAGTATAATAATATAGTACAAATAATACAATAACACATTTATGTACCATGATTTGTATAGCTATTTGTTTCCCAGCGTGTGGCCATCTATTTTGTTTCCAGTTCTTTGCTACTACAAAAAGTGCAGCGATAAATATTTTGTTGTATGTTACCTTTGCTTTCTATCTTTGCCCTCCTTGGGACATTTGCCTGTCAGAGAGATCTCTGAGTTAAAGGATGTGGCCCTTGTAATCACTTTGTTAGCATAATTCCAAACTGCTTTCTGGAAAAGTTGGACCAATTCAGTTTTACCAAAATTATATTCCTGTATCTGTCCTTTCACAGTCCCTTCAGCTGACTATTCCCATCTTTTGTCTTCAAGACAGTTTTCTGGGTGTGGGGTGAAACCTTAAGGTTGTTTTGATTTACACTTCTCTTATTACTTGGAACTGATTTTCATATGGTTTATAGTTTACATTTCTTCTTTTGAGAGCTGTTCAGTCATCAAGTATTTATTACTTGTTGATTGAGAACTGTTTGTTCATGTCCATTAACCACTTATTGGGGAATGGCTCTTGCTGTATTTGTGTTAGTTGCCTGTGTGTATGTATGTATGTATATATAATAAACACATACACATAAGCTATATATGTTGAGTTTATAGAAGATATATGATGCATAATATAGTATACATCTATAAAATTTTGTTGTTTTTTAGTCACATCCAACTCTTCATGATTCCATTTGGGATATTCTTGGTAAAGAGTGATTTGCCATTTTCTTCTCCAACTCATTTTACAGATGAGGAAACTGAGACAAACAGGGTTAAGTGACTTGCACAGCTGTCTGAGGCCAGATTTGAACTCAGGAAGATAAGTTTTCTTGATTTGAGGTTTGGCACTCCATCCATTGCTTCACCTTGTTGCTCCACATATATAAGATATATTGAGTTTATTTAAGATATCTTGGACAGCAGATCCTGGTCAGATATTTGATTCAAAAATTCCCCTGCCCAATTAATACCTTCCCTTATCCTAGTGGCATTGAGTTGTATTCATGAAAGAGGTTTTCAATTTTGAAATTGAAGTTTTCTATTTTATGTTGTGATCATCTTTATCCCTTATTTGATTAAGATTTCTCTTAATAGTTGATCAGGTTCTCTTGAAAGTTTTTTATGGTGTATCCTTTAATATTCAGGTTACGTATACATTTTAAGCTGATTGTGGTATATAATGTAATTTAAGAGTTCTTTTTCTTTTCTTTTTTTAAAATAATATTGACATCTAGAAGACAGGTGTAATGCTCAGGCTGCCACTTAGGGTGTTTTGACATATTCCTCAGTAGCGAATTCTTACATATGCTTGACTTATTTGCTCCCAGTAGTATCTAAAATGTGTTACTCAGAGGAAAACATGTATATCAATATACAAATATATACACATGTGTATATATTTAGCCATTTCTTTCTAGCGCCCAGCTGTCAAGTACTATAGAATCCAAAATAGAATTGTACCATTGTGGGATTGACTACATTTTGTTAACTGGGTAATTCAGATTTAGTCATTACTGCCTGGTCATTCCATTGTCTTTGTTGCTGATTGAAAGCAGCTGGATGCGGAGTTTGTTGTGTGTAGGATTTTCCACCAAGTTCCTTCCTGAAAGGGATTGCCTGAAAGGCAGCAAATAGAAAATAAGAGGAGGAGTTAAGGTACCTGCCTTAGGCCTGTTCTTAATCAAGTGGAGGGCCAGGGGAAAGATATTTTTCAAGCGTTATGAAGTCAGAGGAAGATCCTGAGGACGAAGAAAATATTGTTAGGGATCCAAGCTAAGCATATAATGCAGCAAGATGAATGTGGAACAGGAAACATTATAAACAAAGGTCCCAAGCTTTTGGTTAGAAGTTTTGGCTGAGTATTTGTTTTATGTGAATGGCTGAGGTTTGTAACTTAATGCCTCCTACATAGTTTGCTGCTGGCAACAAGGAGTTCCAAGTCTTCTTTATGATGAGCTGTTGGTTTTCCTGTTCTGCTAAAACCAGAGTAGGTATCCCTATGATTTAGCATAACAAAAGCTTCTTGGTAAGATTTTCCTGTCTAATTTATTTAATAACTACATTATGAATGCTTGTTAGCTTGTTTTATTGTTTTCGGTCTGATTTAGCAGATAATAGCCCTACTAGCAAAAGTTTTTGTGTTTGTGTAGGTACTAGAGACTTAATACAGTAATCACTTGCCAAAAATGAACTGTTTTGTAATCATTACCAATAATTCACATTTTACTTAGTTGATTAGCAGAAATCGATATAATGAAATAATATCCTAGTACTAAATTCAATTGTAAATGGAGAATGCTGCATTTTGATTTAGAAAAAAAAATTTTGATTAACCTGCTTAATAATTTAGAAACCCCTACTTCATATCCAAGCAGTTTTATTATAATGTTGATATTTATTAGTTTAAATTTGTTAAAATAATCTTCCCTACTTAAAGCAGATTTTTTTTTGGTAGGGGACAAAACAGTACTTACTCTTTTTTGAGGGCATTTAGGTACTATGAAAGAAGGGAGCTAACTTCAACCTACTGTTTACCCTTCTTTGGGCTTTATTTTTGGAGCAATAAAACATGGTAAACAAGTATGTGAAGATAAATCAGTTAAAGAATATTGTTTGGAATTTGTGGATTCATGAGCTGAGACTAGAAGTCTTTTTATTATGTGTAAATATGCATTGTTAAGGAATTTGTGGTTACTGGATTTAATTTGTATCTTTAAAGAACCTAACAGCTTTACTTGTATTGGAACTGTTCTTTAATCAAGTTTAGAGATGGGGGAAATATCTAAATGGATTAGAGAAACAGCACTGTATTTAGTGGGGCAAATAGCAGTGTTTTAGTTTACATTTATTAAAATTTAGAAGGCTTGACATTATTCTTATGTCAAGAATAATTCCATCTCCTGGTAGGTTCTGTTTGATGGTGAGAGATCAAAGGTTTAGCTTAAGTATAATTATCTTAATGTTTTTCTCCAACCACAGCTAATAATGTCAGTATATAATGAAAGTATGAGGCTCAAGCCTTTACTGAAATTCTCCATAAATAACAAAACTTTTCTTTTGTTCTTTTAAAATTAATGTGCCTAAGTAAAATTCTTTTGTTTTTTTTAGTATATAGATATAATGGATTCATATCTGTGACAACTTAATGCATAAAGAAAAATGAAATAAAATGACTTGAATAACTGTTGTGAGCACTATTAATTTACCTTGATTTTAATCATAACAAAAATGCCATCTTGAAATGTTCACAGATGCTTGTTGCAAATATTCCCAAAACTATGTAACAAACAAAAAATATTGAAAACTTTAATGTGTTACTGAATTTCATTTGACCCAGATCTTTTGGGTTTAGTGATTTCCTTTAAACTTTAATGTTTCTAAGCTGTTTTCCTTTGAGAAGATATGTAGATATTTACAAATGTGTTAAGCACCATTCTTTATGTTACTAGCAAAGAATATGTAAAAACATGTTATCCTCCTACAAATTAAAGATTTTTTAGTGTAATATCATTTGTCTAATAGGAATAAGCTTTTATTATTTGTAATCCCAGTGAAATTTTCAACCTACTGATAGCATAGAAATGTTCATGCAAAAACTTATAGAAAATGGTGCATATTTGATGTGCTTGGGAAATTTAATTCAATATATTGTACCAGAATACATTATCTATCATGATCATTTGGTTCCACAAAATTGTGACTTTAGGCAAAATAACATTGTGGGAAGAGAGCTGAATAGAGCTAGAATTGGTAGTAATTCGGGGAGGTGAACATCATGGAGAATTATAAATATCTCTGATATTTATAAAACCTTTTACATAAGGGAAAGCACTTTATATACATAATCTCATTTGATACTTATAACTCTGTGAGGTAGGTACCACGGGCAATAATATCCTTATTTTACAAAGGAATAGAGGTGTGACTCAGAGAAATTAAATGATTTTCACGTGGTCACAAAACAAATGTCAGAGGTGGAATCAAATCCAGATCTCTCATGATTCCCAGCCTTAGATTTACAGTATCTTAACAATGTTAATGCAAAATGAATCTTAGTTCAGGTGGTATAGGTGGTATATCTATATTGCCATCTCACTTTCCTTGTGTCCTATGAAAATTTTCTCATTGCTAACGTGCCATATGCTAACTTTTATTTTTCATTTTTGTAGCAAACAACAGATTGGAACAAATATGATGACCGACTAATGAAAGCAGCTGAAAGGGGAGATGTAGAAAAAGTGTCCTCTATCCTTGCTAAAAAGGGAATTAATCCTGGTAAACTAGATGTGGAAGGCAGATCTGTGTAAGTATCTAATGATCAAATATATTTTAGGTGGATTTGGGTTATGCTTTAAGTAGGCAAAGTTAATAAGTGAGTTGCATTTATTAACTTTTCTGTGTGTCTTGGTTAGTATTTTAATAAATCTTTCTACACTTTTATATACTCTTAAAAAAGATGTTTGGCTGTTATATTTTGTTTTGCTCTAGATGTGTAATTTCATCAGTTTAGGGAACTCCCTGCTTGGAAACTACTTAAAGTGATTCGGATCAACAACTGATCTGTAATTTAGTCTTAGCTGCCGGGGGTAGGGGTGGGGGGTGGGGGGGTGGCTTAAGGACTTGTCCATGGTCATAAGAGTAGTACATTTCAGGGGCAGTATTTGAAACTAGGTCTTCCTGACTCCAAAGACTGCGCTCTCTCTCTCTCTCTCTCTCTCTCTCTCTCTCTCTCTCTCTCTCTCTACTATGTCATGTTTGACTAATGAATCTTCTCAGAATGAAGGTATCATCTAGATATACAACAATACTTAGGGTTCTGGCTAGGTTAAGTCCAAGCCTCTCTTCCAGAGTCATCATTAGTAATTTTTGTATCTGGTGCAAGAGGCAGGAAGGATGCCATAATGGTGGGGAGTAGGGAAAGAGAAAAGAAACCATAAGACACCTAAGGTCAGGGGTATGTCCCCTTTTACTCTTTCCTACCTATCTGTAGACTATCTAGTAACTTCCTATTTTTACTAAGTATTCTTGCTAATTGGGTGCCAAGAGCCTGCATGGGGTAGTGCAATAATGTCAAATTCAGTTATAAACAGATTCTTGCTGGCTACATATTGAATTAGAAAACCACAAATCAACCCTATGTTATATTGTATTTTTTTATTTTGTTAAACATTTCCCTATTACATTTTAATTGGTTTCCTGCCCTGGGCATGGAGAGTTTTGCAGGCTGTGTGCAGCCTGCAGACCATGAGTTTGATAGCTCTAGCATAGTGGATAGAGGGCTAGCTAGCCTTAGAGTCGGGAAGATTTGACTTCCTACATTCCACCTCTGACAGTATAACCCTGTCAGGTCAGTGCCTAAGTCTGGAAGTGGCAAAATAGTTGGTGATACATTGTTAAAGGGAGTTTCTCTTCAATAGTTTTCTGGCCCCTGGAAAGGGATGGCAATGACCTACTGAAGCTCAGGCTTGAAGGCAGTCAGAGGAGAATGTCATGGCAATGGTGTTTCCAACACAAATGAAGGTTGGCTGAGTAGTCTTACTCTCTCTATGTGTGTGTTGCTGGGGCGGGGAAGGGTAGGAAGTGGCAGAAAGAGGAGTGGAATGTCATTGGACTTTCTCTATCACATATACATACCTACCTGTGCCAATATGCATTCCCAGATATGCTAACAAGGTGGGAGGGTATGACTGTAGATCTGCCAATATTAGTAAAATGCATTGTCACCCACTGCCCCATGGCGGTTAGGTGTGGGATGCCTTAAGTGTTCTAGTCCTAGTCTCCCATCCATTTCAAGGGTGATCCCTAGCTAGGGTAATTCAGCCAGGATAACTCTTAAATCCTGTACTTGGTAGTGTCCGAACCTCAAGGTTTCCCACCCCCCTGCCATGTCCAGTTACTTAATATGACACCATCATGACAGTTTAAAAATTTGGGAGCTGTTTACCTTTCCCATTCTTTAGCCACTCCTCCTCCCCCCTGCTTTAAGTTGTTTCAGAGATACCCAAGATATTGGAAAGAGGAAATGCCTGCCTATAACTTCTCAAGACCCAGGTGAAGAGTGTTGGCAGCCTCCAGATTACTGCAGAGTTAGCCCGTAATTGGCAACTTTGTTTACCAGGGAATGTTATTGCAGGGTATAGAAAAGTAGTTTGTGCTCTTACCTTTCCTTGTACCACCTTCCTGGAGTGGTCCTGTAAGCTATACCTACTTGGGTTTGGGAGTGTTAGTTTTTGGGAAGAGCCCACTAAATTAAGCATACTATAAATTTGTCAGCAAAGCCCTACTCTGCATTACTCCAGAGATGCCAGTCCTCCTGTTTCCTCCTCTGATTAGTGAGTTCTTTCTTGGAACCTTAACTTAAGGAAAAACACACATCAGTCATGCTCACTCCTAATTTTGCTTGCATGTACCTCTCACCTTCTTCTTCTGTTTCCCTTCTTCAACTCAATTTTATATATTGTAGTGCACCTCCATCTTCCCCATTAGAATGTAAATATTTTGAGGGCAAAGACTTTCACTTTGCTTGTATTTGTATTCCCAGAGTTTACCATGTGCCTGGCAAGTATTTTTGTTGTTCAGTTGTTTCAGTCATGTTTGACTCTTTATGACCCCATTTTGGATTTTCTTGGCAAAGATACTGGAGTGGTTTGCCATTTCCTTCTTGAGCCCATTTTACAGATGAGGAAATTGAGGCAAACAGGTTTAAGTGTCTTGCTTACACAGCTAGTGAGTGTCTGAGGCCATATTTGGACTCAGGAAGGTAAGTCTTGACTCCAAGCCTGGCTCTCTATCCACTATGCCACCTAGCTGCCCTTGGCAAGTAGTAAGTTTAATAAATGCTTCCTCTAATCTAATCTGCCTGGTTATGGCCCTGTCTTCCCTTTACCCAGTCTGTATTTTTTAGTGTGATTAAGTATATTAAAATAAACCTTAAGGGCAGCCTTAAAAATGGGAACAAGTCATAAAAGACCTGTTAAGTGCTTGGAGAAGGGACTGGTAGTCCTATTGCTTCGTCTCCATAATGGTGAAGATAGTTTATGTGCTAAATATAGGTATATGAGCCTCAGGCCTTTTTCCTGCTCTACTTTCCCCTTTAGCCACTGTTTTTCTGAATTGTGATTTGGTGTAGGGCTTAGAGGCAGCCAACTACCTGAGTGCTGTCTCCCCCCTCCCCATTTGTAGCCCTGGATGCCACTTCTGGTGCTTCTTCTTCCTACTTGTATGACTTATTGCTTGTAAATGACGAAGTCATTTTAACACTATTGGACTTAACTTTTCTCAGTTGTAAAATGAAAAAATTAGATGTTTTCTAAATGCCTTTTAAGCTCAAAATCCTATTAACTTCTATTTGTACTAATACAGACATTATTTGGGAATCCTTCCCAGCCTTCCAACTCAAATGTCCAAGATGAGGCAAAGGTTAGATTTTAATTTTCCCCAAATCCTTCTATGACTTACCCTTATATAAGTTTACCAGGGATCTAAAACTATCAAGCAAATAATAAATATAAAAAAAAATAGAAAGTGAACTTTTTTATGTTATTGATGTGTGTAAAACCCTGTAAGAATATAAGCTTCTGAATAATATTGATAGTGTTATGTGTTTCTGTAGCATGTCTAGTTCATTTCAAGGGCTCAGATGTTTAAAGATTGTATCAGGATTGTGGCTCACACATTAGGAATCACTGCTTTAGCATGATCACATTAATATCCAAAAGCCCATTTCCTTTTGTGATGAGGAAGCTAAGACCTAGAGAAGTTAATGACTTGCCTGGGTCACAGATATTTAGGAGCAGCACAAAGATCCCAGTTATCTTTTTTTTTAACTATTTTTAAAATTTTACTTTGTTTTAAAAATGTGAATTTTGGTGTTTTCCAATTACATGTAAAAACAATATTTAACATTGTTTTAAAAAATTTTTTTTTAGTTCTGACTTCTTTGCCTACCTTCCTGAAGCTCTGTGTGCCCTGCTCCTTCAGAAGGCAAACAATTTGATATAGGCTATACATGTGCTGTTATACAACACATATTTCCATTTTAGCTATGTTGTGAAAGAAAACACAAACCAAAAAAAACCAAACAAACCAAAAAACAAAAACATAACAACAACAAAACAAAAAAAATAAAGTTAAAAAAAAAGTGTGCTTCAATCTGCATTCAGATTCCAACTGTTCTTTCTCTGGATGTGGATAGCATTTTTCATCAGAAGTTCTTTGGAATTGTTCTGGATCATTATATAGCTGAGAATAGCTAAGTCATTCACAGTTGATCATCATACAACATTGTTGTTACTGTGTACAATGTTTTCCTGATTCTGCTCACTTCACTTTGCATCAGTTCATATAAGTCTTGCCAGGTTTTTCTTCTAGCACAACAGCATTCCATCACAATCATAAATTGCAGCTTATTCAGCCATTCTTCCAATTGATGGGCATCTCTTCAATTTTCAATTTTTTGCCACTGTAAAAAGAGCAACTATAAATATTTTTGTACATATATAGATCCTTTTCCTTTAAAAAAAAAATTTTTTTTTAATCTCTTTTTGGATACAGATGTAGTAGTGCTATTCCTGCGTCAAAGACATTCTTCCTCCCCCCAAAAAAATAAAATAAAAAAAGAGAAAGGATCTATGTGTTAAAAAATATTTATAGCAGCTCTTTTTGTTGTGCATAACCTTTGATCCAACAATATTACTACTAGATCTGGATCCCAAAGAGATCAAATGAAAATGATGGTGGTAAAAATAGGTAGAAGAAATGTAAAGATTTAGAAAATTAGGATTTGGAATAATGAAAGGACTGGGATAAAAAAAGAAACAGCAATTAGAAAAGAGTAGGGTTAGTCCCACAGGAGAAATAGTAATTTTTTAAATGAGTTGTCTACAGAACTGTTATCTAGGAATTTGACCATGCAGAAAAAAAACAAAATCTTTACCACAAAATGTCTTTTATTCTTATTTCTAAACAATTTTCAATGATATGCTAATTTACTTTAAAAAAAGAAAGAAAAACTTTTCAGCCCTGGATTTCATTATTTTTTTTCATGGCATCAGAAGACAAAACTTTAAAAAATAAATGATGTAATCAGAACTCTAAAGAAGGAGCTTTCAGAAGGACTTCTTAGTATGTTAAGGCCTAACGTTTTATTTTCAATTATAGGTCCTATGCTGTAATTTTAAGTATCCATTTAATTTAGGATATCATTATATATGACTTCGATTCAATCTAATAAGCATTTACTAAAGGCCTGATTTGTTCCAGTTATTATGTGAGGTACAGGGAATACAAAGACAAAAAAATGAA